GCGCCTTCACTTTGATAACTCGAGTTTCCAATCTCTTGAAAGGTGCTTACAGCAGCGATTGAAGCCATTCTACATCAACTGGAGTATATTCGATGGGAGGCCTCGATTCTAAACAAATTCTGTATTTATTGCTATATCTGTCTTCGTCACACACCTTTAGGTGTGATGAGAGAGAGCGACAGACGGACGAAAATATGGAAATATTATTCGGAATACAACCTCTGTCGTAATATACCCAGCTTCGGGGATCCAAAACACCGCAATGTGGCTTAGAAATGTGAATTAAATGATAGGCTTTAGCTTAACAATGGAATATTAATTTTAGCTCCAGCTGATGCTAAATATCTTTGTTACAGTACATGAATTAATATTTAGATATCCCTTTGTTCCTTACTCGTATGCTGCAACTACGTTTTCTCTTAAGGAGGAATTAAGAGAAAACTTAGTTGCAACATTTGTCTGTCAACTTGTCAGTCAATTCTTTGTATTTTTTTCTATAGTGTTGGTTTTAAAAACGAAGATTGGATTTACCTCTTTTTACATGGCTCAATTGGGCCGCACGACGGCTTTGTGAAATCGTCTTTTTACGGACAATAAAATTGATTTTAACTCTCCAATGCTAGGACACTAAAAGGATCAAATATTTACGTAAAACATTGAGCAGAATTGTGTCTATTTACTCTGAGTAGAAAACAATAGATTTACAATGTTAGTAAAATTTGAGTCTAACCAATCTTGACGAAATACACAAAGGAAGTTCTACAAGGCCTTAGAGTTATTCGAGTTGTGCAAACCGCATAACTGGCAAACTGGCAATCGCCTAACGTCTAAAGTGGATATCAATTTTACCGGTCCAAGAAACACTGCTGTCCAAATATTTTGGCACATTCAGTATGTGTTGTCTTAACTCTGGCTACGGACTATTGACATACGTAGATCTAGATGGCGAGAATATGGATCTTAATGGTAGTTATTATTTTTTGGGTTACTCATTTTATGTCTACAATCCATCTTTCAAGAAGAGAGCGTATTTATATATTACTAGCTGTGCCCGCGACTTCGTACGCGTGAAAACCCGTTTTCGCAAAAATTTTTATTGTTGCTCTGCTCCTATTGATTGTAGCGTGATGTTGTATAGCTTATAGCCTTCCTCGATAAATAACACTGAAAGAATTTCTCAAATCGGACCAGCAGTTCCGGAGATTAGTGCGTTCAAGTAAACAAACAAACAAACTCTTCAGCTTTATATTATAGTATAGATAGATCGGCAACGCATTCGTAATGCGGCATGAAAAACTAAAAAAAGTAAATGGAAACGCAGGCATTACTAATGCCTGCATTTCCATTTACCATCAGGTGATCTCTCTATTTGTTTGTCCCATAAAAAATATGTAACTCTATGTTAAGTATAACATTGTTCTAATTTACGCACCGCCTTAATTTATCTGTCTGACCAAAGTTAAACGAAAGCACAGCGTTGAATAGAGCTCTGTAATTGGCTCGTGTGTCACCCTGTGCGTCCACGTGCACTGTGAGACCTCATAGTAATGTTTGTGAATATGTGCGTTAGTGTCGATGTAGTGGATTTACCTTTTTAGGGTTCCGTAGTCCTGACAAGGAATTTTAGATGAAGTAATTGCTTGCTTCTGATATATATTGTGTGAACGACGGACAACTACAGAACCCTACACTGCGCGTGGCACGACACGCACTTGGCCATTTTTTTTATAAAAAGTTGTCCCCTCTAAGTGTTCAATGTCAGAGATCTTTTATTGTATGAATGATTCTAAAAATAACCCACTTCAGAAACTCATTTACAAGATAGAAGTAGCCGAAACGGTCTCAAATACATTTTATAGCGGATTATTCTTAAGGCAGATTACTGTGGGGCGATTCGCTAATGATAGCCCGCTCCAAGTGGCTTTGTTGCCGGGTTTTTGGCGGCGACGTTATTTATTAGCAAGGATTAATACGTTTTTCAGGCCGTCGTCTGCCAAGATAACCGGTTTGATTCCCAAGATATATGTTATTTGCTAGTGGATTTATTCGCGCACTCAATTATTTGCTGTTCATTTTCTTGGTTCTTTCCTTTGGACGATCTATTATTTTTTGGTGATTCCATAATTGATATATTATGATGTATTCGAAGGAATGAGATAAATAATAATTGTAACTATGTCGTGGTTTTACGTAATATATTTTTTGTTTGTGCAAATAAAATTAATGATCATCATAATGTGTTCATTTTGGATAAGGTTTTGATGCCATCATAATATTACTTATTTGAATTTTAGGGGAACTTAAATGTACTAATAGGTATATGGAATTTGAAATAACTTGCTAAAATAATAATAAATAATAATAATAATAAATATCCTTAGACATTTACACTGCGCCGCTAGCTTCAAACTAAGAAAAGCTTGTACCTACTATGGGTGTACTACAACGGATATTAACATACTTACTTAAATATATTTTTTTGTAAATACATACTTAATATACATCTAGAAAACACCTAGTAGTCCAGTAGAATTAGCTTTTAAATCGGAAATAATTCCTACAAAAGATTTTATTGCTTTAATGGCTTCATTGTTTGCCCATTAGGAGAGTCTTTCCTATGTTTTCGACTTCGACGGAGTTGTGCTTAAGTGGTGGGGGCCCCCGAAAGGGGCGCTTTTTCTGTTTTCCAGTTATACCGCGTACAGGACTTACCCTATCGAAAAGTGGTCTTCCTGATGGTTGAAGGGCATTTAATTCTGCATTAAATAAGACCAAATTCATATGTTTTGAACAAACCGTTCTCGTGCAAATGTTTGGCAAAGTAGAAAATATGTGTATAATTAATGACCCTCTCCACGTCCAATGGCTCGTTACCCGCAGGATTCCAAGTCTTGAAAAGGAGCGCCTCAACCAGTGTAACCCTATCAAGGCATACGAGCTGGATTCGCCGATCCTTGTTCGTCCCAGCCGTTCCTTAACTGCGGTTGCTGCACCTCTTCCTGGCACTCACCTGAACGACTCTGTGTTACCTACTGTGGCTGCCCCTTTTCCTTGTATCCTCCTGCACGACTACGTTGCCTAGCCGTATGCCTGGTCTAAGGTTTGACGCCAAAAATCAACAACAACAAGTTCATATTAAAACGCTGAAGAGTTTTTTGATTGTTTGTTTGAACGCGCTAATCTCAAGAGATAGTTTGATTGAAATAATATTTTTTGTGTTGAATAGCTCATAAATTGAGGAAAGCTCTAGGATATATACAATCACTCTACGACTAATAGAGCCGAAGCAGTAAAGAAAAATATTGCAAGCACGGAAAATTGTATTTAAACTATTTTCACGCGTGCGAAGTTGATTTTGTGGCGTCGAACCTTGGACCAGGCATACGGCTAGGCAACGTAGTCGTGCAGGAGGCTGCAAGGAAGAGGAACAACCACAGTATGTAACACAGGGTCATTCAGGAGAGTGTAAGGAAGAGGTGCACCGACCGCAGTTAAGGAACGGCTGGGACGCACAAGGATAGGCGCATCAAGCTCGTAAGCCTTGATAGGGTTACACTGGTTGAGGTGGCCCTTTTCAAGACTTGGAAGCCTGTGGGTAACAAGCCATTGGACGTGGAGAGGGTCTTTAATTATACGTATATTTTCTACTTTTCCGAACTTTAGCGCGGGAACGGTTTGTCCAAAACATTTGAATTTGGTCTTATTCAATGCAGGATTAAGTGCCCTTCAACCGTCATGAAGACCACTTTTCGATAGGGTAAGTCCTTTACGCGGTATAACCGGAAAACCGAAAAGACGCCCCTTTCGGGTCCCCCACCACTTAAGCACAACTCCGTCGAAGTCGAAAACTTAGGAGATTCTTAATGGGCAACCAATGAAGCCATTAAAGCAAAAAAATCTTTTGTAGGAATTATTTCCGATTTAATCAATTTTTGTGTTTAATTCTACTGGCCTATAGACCCGTCACAGAAATTAAAATCCATCATTTCAATTTCTGCCCGACCGGGAAACGAACCCGGGACCTCTCGACATAGAGTCCGTTCTGAACCACTATACCAAAAGGCCGACAAATGATTCTAACCTGATTCCTAGGACACAAAGATTTTCACTTGTATCTAATTAAACCCGTATGCCATTGCAAAAATGAATTGTAACATAATTTTCAATATTTACTTTTATTACCTACCAGTTCAAAATATTTCGATATCAAACAAGCTTACTCAATAATGTTTTTTTCATCTGGGCTACCGTTTGATGCATTCATTTCGCTTCTCGTTAAGGTTCCATATGTGCCCACTTTCATTTTACCCAGTTTTAGTGCAATACAATTTTGGTTTTGCAATTTTGATCGAGTGATATTAACTTCTCTGCTAGCTGAAAATGCTGGATTCTGGAAATTGATGAACAGCTTGTTTGAGTTTTCGATATTGAAAAATAACGGTACGCTTGTGTGGTGAGCTTAGAAGGGAAATAGCTGTGGTAATTTAGTGTTGATATTTTGATTAACTTTCATATTTTTTCGCAAAAGGTAAATTAAAGACAGTAATGTAGGTATTACAATCTGAAATTGCTATCGTAAACTTGTTTTCTTTTATAACCTCCATGATTTGTGTTGGAGAGCTTTCGATCCGCGAGCTTTGGTTAGGTCATGTTATAGAGAAAAAAGCTTATGTAATCAGATCTAGACCCCTCCTCAGTCTTAGGATCTCGAAAAGCACGTTAAGCTATACTCGTAGCAGCATTGATTCCATTTAGCTATGTCTGACGCTAATATAATCTGGCACTAGTTTTCTGTTAAAAGAAAAATACTTTTCTCTGATTCCGAAAACATCTTTTACGAAATAACAAACAGACTGAAGCCTCTAAAAACCGCGTCCAAAATTAACTCACCCAAAATATGCCTTAAAATCAAGATAACCTAATAACCCTTATCAAATAAAGAAATGAACAAAACATTTTTTAAGCGTAACCAAATTAAGCTTCTTCTCATTTGTTCGCAGAAGCGGGCGGCCTCCGTACTGAGCAACTGCAGATCACGCCGCGTGTCGTTCAGAAAGGGAGGAACGTGACTATGGACTGTATATACCAGAACCACCACGATTACGGTGTCTATTCGGTTAAGTGGTACAAGGGCGCGCAGGAGTTCTACAGATACTCGCCGCTGGAATCGCCGTCGACTAGAGTATTTCCTGTTAGTGGAATTAAGATTGATGTAAGTAAACCATTTTATCGTGGTGTTACCCACAAGGTGGACCGACCGCCTGATAAAGGTAGCAGGAAGGCGCTGGATGCAGGCCTCCAACAACCGTGCGATGTGGAAGTCATTGGGGGAGGCCTATGTTCAGCAGTGGACTTCTTGTGAGATAATGATGATGAGATGAGATATCAGTCACAGGACGTCCACTGCTGAACATAGGCCCCGTTAATGCTTTCCATGTCACCCGTTTGGTAGCGGCTAGCGTCCAGCGCCTTCCTGCTACCTTTACGATGTCGTCTGTTCACCTCTCCGCCTTTTATCAGTCAATCGAACCTTAACTTCGAACTCCTCTTATGTTCTATTGATTAATTTCTTTGCGGGTCCAATGACAGTTTAACTTAGTAACTTTCGTAATATACCTACCTACTGAATTACTTGATCGCTTCGCTAGATTGTTTAACGTATTTAATTTGCTCCGTGAAGCGATTGCGAAACTGAATTTGTCACGATTGTCACTTTGTCACTTTGTCTGGCGGTTCGAGCCAAAATCTAAGTAAGCTTAGGTGCAGACCAACGACTTTTAGTTGGCCGATAGTTTAGTTGAACAGTTAATCAGTATGGACATATATGGACGTGCGCACATTACACCGATTTCGATGTCATACAAATTAGATTCGGGCCCAACCATAGGCCGACAAAAAGTCGGTGGTCTGCGCTTAAGCTAATAAAGATTTTTGATTGTCTGTAGCGATAGCGGAGATTGATTGAAGTTTATTAAGTTCCGCTTTTATCATAAAATAATGTTTGTGAAAACAAATTTTACCTTCCTGAAGTATTTAATAGTTGTAAATACTTGGAATAACATTGTTTAAGACAGGCAATCTATTTTTTTTAGGAAAATCGAAGTTGAACGCTTGAGGAAAATCTTGAATTTCTCGAACATCTTACATCATGCCGTCTCTTTCACAGAGGTTAAGATCGAACGAGACGCACGTAATCCTCGTCAGGGTGGGGACCAGTTTGAGTGGGAACTACAGCTGCGAGGTGATACTCAATGCGCCGTCCTACCCTCACTCAATATCTACAGCACGACTAGATGTTGTAGGTAAGTAAATACAAAACTTGTCTATATTATAAGATAAGATTTTAAACTTTCGCGTTCCATTTCAATTAAAATATTAAGACCACGTAAATAAGTTGTGACCACGACAGTAGAAGTTGTAGCAGCCGAAATGTTAAGCCGTGAGTACATAATGTAACTCATTATTACACGTCGCGTTAAGACCCGTGTCTTACTATTTTAGATATTATTTAAGACGCTGACAAAAGTGACTAAATGAAAGTGAAAACAAAATTCCTGTCATTTGTACCATAGGGGTCACTTAAAAATTAGGGATTGATGGTGAAAACGGACATGAGTCTCTTCTAAGAACCAGCCCTTAAGTTATTCCAAAATGGTGGTAAAGCAAGTTATACATACTACATACTAATAAATAATTAGAATTTGATAGGGAAGTATAGAGACTTTATGTCGTTTATGAATTTTGGCACAGAGATACTAAATACAGTTGAGAAAGTATCTGTTTGTCAAAAAACTTACAAGAATGAAATAAGAAAATTTAGTTAGTGCTTTTGGTAAGAAACGTGTTTTTAATAAAGAATGTACGACAAATACTTTTTAGGAATAAACTTGAATCCATACTGCCGAAGCTACGGACTTATTTTGGAGTTGCTATTTTCTCAAAAAATATTAGCATAGTTCATCATTTTATCACAACCTAAACAAAGCACTGCTCTAACTTTATCTCTGTCCCTTTCTCTCCTAAGAACGAAGGGCCCGTAATTAGCGACCACATCAATTAGTACAATGCTGCTTAAGCGTTTTTTATCTTCGCAATTCCGCAGTTTTCTTTGAAATAATAAAGGGGCTGGTGTAATAGATTTGGTTATGTATGTACCAAAGGGTAGGGGTTAACTTTAAGTACGCTTGGCCTTTTTATTAATTTAATTAAGTGATAGACGGTAAGTGATCCCTTTACGCATAAGTCCAGTAATAATAACAATTCCAAGAAGCCCTCGAGCTCGGTTCCCTTCCAGCCTTCATGACTACCGGTGTCACCACCTTGCTCTACAAATCTGGTAGTACCATGGACCCAAAAAACTACAGACCGATTACATGCTTGCCTACCATCTACAAGCTCCTTACATCTATTCTGACCACAAAAATTAATACGCATATTGTCGCGAACAATATCTTGGCCCCTGCTCAGAATGGATGTAAGGTTGGGTCTCGTGGTACTAAAGAGCTCCTCCTCATAGACATGACCATTAGCCAACAAGTTCGACGGAGCAGGAAAGCTCTCTCTGCTGCCTGGATTGACTATAAGAAGGCCTATGATTCGGTGCCTCATTCATGGCTAGAGAGGATTTTAGAGTTGTATAAGGTAAATGCAACTCTGAGATCCTTTTTAAGCTCATGCATGGGGCAGTGGACTACAGTCCTTCGGCAGCCAGGTGGTAGTGAGAGGTCTCCTGATCCATTGAACTTCATAAGGATTGAGCGAGGCATTTTCCAGGGTGACAGTTTGAGTCCCTTATGGTTCTGCCTAGCACTGAATCCTCTTAGCACTCTGTTAAAGGATTCAGGGCTTGGTTATCGGCTTCGAAGAGGGGGTGAGGTCATTAGTCACCTGCTCTACATGGATGATCTCAAGTTGTTCGCACCAAAACGCAGCAACTTGCTCTTCAGTACGGCCTTCTTGAATCTGAGTCGCCATATTACCAGTACCAGCCGGTGCCAGTTCTTGAAAATGGTCATGCATTGCTCTATTGGGATCGGTCTATCATCACAGACAGGACTATTGTCTGTAATAAACCTGATATTGTGGTGGTTGATCGATCCCAACGTCGGGCAGTGCTCGTTGACATCACCATCCCGCATGACGAAAACCTCGTGAAGGCCGAGAAGGAAAAACAAAGCAAATACCTTGACTTGGCCCACGAGGTGACCGCCATGTGGGATGTTGACTCGACGATCATTGTCCCGATAGTTGTCTCGGCGAACGGGCTAATAGCGAAGAGCTTCGACCAACATCTAAAGAAGCTCTCGCTAGATGGTTGGCTCAAGGGTCAGATTCAAAAAGCGGTGATCCTCAGCACGGCACGCATTGTCCGGAGGTTCCTCAGCCTGTGACCCTGACCACCGGTAGCTTGGGCCCTGCTCCGCTACCAGCGGATTGACTATTTTTAAGAATTTTTTTTATAATGTATTTTTAGTTTTTTTATAATTTACATTGTAAAAAAAATATTAAAAATAAGAAGGAAATTGAATAAAGAGATAATAATAATAAAATGTTTTATTTGACAAAAAGGGCGACATCACATTAAAATTTACACAAATTACAAAATTAAAAACATTGTGCCCTGCTGTCAAATAGGAGCCCGCTCAGCATTAATCGGGGCACGCCGTGGGAATGCCTCGACACTGATTTTCAGCGGGTCCCTTGACGTTGCTGCGCCCAACCGCCGAAGGAGAAGCACTCCGTAAAGTGCCTGTCCGTCGGCGGGAACACGCAAATAGGAGGGCAGCAGGGGGGGGGGGGGTGCAGTTCAGTGATAGGTACTTACTATTAATTTTAATTCAATTTTAAAACATTATAATTATGTGTCCTAATGAATGATAAGGCTTTTTTTATTTAAGTACCTAGCTAATATCAAGATTTCGCTCTCTTTCTAAGACAAAGTCATTGTTTAGACTAATTATGATAGGTAACGGAAGAAATGAAACAAAATTAATTATCTTTCTATAATCAACACTTGCTAAATATGCTTACTTCAAAACAATTCATAAAAATTAGCTCTTAAGATGCTATTTAAATGTTTTCTTATCTTTTGGGAAAATTAAGTTAAAATAATGTTTTTATTTATCTTTATTATATTTGCTTTTAGCTAGCCAAAAACCAGGCAAACTGACTAGCTATTGATTACAGTTCCACACAACCAAACGGCCATCCAAAGCAGTTAAACTAAACTAGGTCAATGTTCCTTATAAGGAACTTTCGGGATAGAGTCGAAAGAAATCCAATTAGACATAAATTATTAATGAATCTTGTCCTGTTCTAGTTTGCCTTAATAGAATACGGGACAGGACAGTCAACGGCACAAACTAATTCGAAATAAAGAAAAAGATAAGCGATTTTGAACGTTAATTCATAGTGAAAGGTGAAAAAATCGCTTGCTGCGCCGTCGCCTGTACTTTGGCCGGCTATTTCAAATAAACCCACTGGATTATACGATATTTTCCTAAGAAAATTCTTTAGCAACTTTCTAAGCTAGCAAAGTTGGGTTATTATCGTGAACATGGTTCTGAGATACGATCTATAACTGCAATATTGAGGGAAAAGTCTGCGATAAAATACCAGTTGAAAGTCAGGAACATTATCGAAGTTTACGTCAATCTAGGTGCTTTCTTTGCTGGATAAAAGTAAAGCAAAATAATCTTTGTGATTCTAAAAACAATGTTGAATATCACGATTTTTTCTGATAGAATTACTCTTAATATAGGTACAATCTACTGTACCAAAACAGAAATAGTGCTGTCTGGAGATCAGGCTATTTTTTTGTTGCAATAGAGCACCTTTTAAAACAAAGGCTGGGTTGCCCCATCTTACTTTATCTTTGACAAACGTCAAAAATCTGTGAAACTCCATACAAAAAACACCGGTTATCAAAGTTAGGTGGTGTAACTCAGACTTAGACCGGTGTTTTTTGTATGGAGTTTGACAGATTTTTGAGATTTGTCAAAGTTGAAGTAAGATGGTGCCACCCAGCCTTAATAATATCATGCCACAGTTTTATTTTGATGTGTAGCTGGCGTCCTAGGTAGGCTAGGTGCGTAATTTGTGATATGCTATGTTAGAAGTGGGTCCACCACAATAGTGTACGACTTAGCAAGCGATTTCAGTCACGTGTCAAGTTTCAGTCACGTGTCAAGTGAAGAGTGTCAGTCCGTCAGTCGCTGGCGTCACTCGGTAGAGACACGTCCATCACTATGAATGTGTTCGTTCGTTCGTTCGTTCGTTCGTTTCAGCCGAAAGACGTCCACTGCTGGACAAAGGCCTCCCCCAAGGATTTCCACAAAGACCGGTCCTGCGCCGCTTGCATCCAGGTACTTCCCGCGACCTTCACCAGATCGTCGGTCCACCTAGTGGGAGGCCTGCCCATGAATGTGTTCACGTTGTGGTTAATTGACTCAGGTATTTTGAACAGGCAACTTACTATAAACTAGCGACGCACCCCTGCTTCGCACAGGTACAATGTTACTTAAAAACCTTCCTCTTGAATCACTCTATCTATTAAAAAAATCAAATTCCGTTACGTATTTCTGATCTAAGCATACATGGAAAGACAGACATGAAAGCGACTTTGCTTTATAATAATAACTAGCGGCCGCTCGCGACTTCGTACGCGTGGATCCCGTTTTACCCCCTTAGGGGTGGAGTTCCGTAAAATCCTTTCTTAGCGGATGTCTACGTCATAACATCTACCTGCATGCCTTTCAGCCCGATCCGTCCAGTGGTCTGAGCTGTGCGTTGATATCACTATGTCAGTCAGTCAGTCACCGTTGAGTTATATAATTTAGATTATATAGTAAAGTATTGAATAACACAAATGTTAAAAAAAAACAGTTCATTAAGAAACAAAATATGTTAGGAACCTAAATTGTTTTGTAACTTTTTCCTTTAAATAACTTCGTCTGATGAAGTTACGACGATATCGTTATTCTATCCATTTTATTTTGCCTTTGACATTACTAACTTAGTTAAGAAAACAAAAAGTTTACTAAGTAATGCTTTAGCTAACTTTGACGTATCTATGTATTTGTGTCATTGGGTATTTTTATATAGAACTAGCTGTGCCCGCGACTTTGCTAACATGAAAATAGTTTGAATATTTTCCCCGCTCCTTTGGTCGTAGCATGGTGTTATAAAGCCTAGTTATTAAAAAAATATGTTACTTAAGGCCGGGTAGCAGAGAAAATGGCGAAAATGAGGTTTTCATTAAATTTACCTTACCTAATGTGAGGCAGGTTCCCACACANAGTGT